CCCCCACTGAGCTCCATCCCCCACTAAGCTCCATCCCCCACTGAACCATCCCCCACTGAGCTCCATCCCCCACTAACCTCCATCCCCTACAGAACTCCATCCCCCACTGAACCCATCCCCCACTGAGCTGCATCCTCTACTGAGCTCTCCCCTCACTCATTTGTCCCTTCCTCCATTGAACTGTGTGTCCCCATGGTACCCACTGCCCTGTGAGTTCCCACTCCTACACTGAATCTTACCTTCCCAAGTGTCCATCCCCTCCTGGAGCCCCTGTCCCACACAGAGGCTGCATTTCCCCCACAGAGCCCTGCAATCCTCACAAAGCCCCATTGTCTCACTAGCTTTTGCCCATGTGAGTCCCCATCCTCCCCCACCACCTCCCCCCACAGCACCCGTCTTGAGGTTCTCTTAGGCCCTGGGAGCACAGGGCAGGCAGCCCTGCACCGCACCTCACCTGAAGTTGGCCGCCATCGAGGAGTACCTTCCATCTGTTCCCACCAGGACTCCATCTGCCTTGTTTCCCACCGTCAGGACCATGTGTGCAGGCTCCCTGGGGATGGAGCTCATCATTGGTGCTCCTCAGGGGGGCCCCCCTCTTCCGAGTAGACGCTATTCTGGGTCCTGGTTCTCACAAGCCCAAAGAGCAGCTGTGTCCAGCAGGGCCTGTCATCCACTGCTTCTGGTCCAACCCGTGGGGCCTCACACTTTCTCCCCACTCCATGGTGGGGGGCCAAATATTTGCAAAAGACTTATCCTGAGCCCAAGACCTCTCTGTGTCCCAGCTGCCTTCAGTCAGCCTCCAGCAGGCTCTATAGGATACACTATCTGCCCCAAATTTCCCCAGGTCATGCCTTGGGCAGTGGACACAGATGTGGTTGGTGGCACTTCAGGCAGAGCTGGGTCAGGTGGAGAAAGCCCAGCTGAAGACCTTCCAACAAAAAGCCCCTCGCCTCTTACTCAAGTTTAAACCCCAACAGTGTGGGGTCTCCCTGAAGCCTCCCAGAAGCTGCTCCCATGAGTGTCACAGGGACCCCAACACCCGCTCACTTCCTTAGACATCCCACAGGCACCCCAGACGTAATATGTCCCCAGTTAGGCTCAGCAGCTGCCCCTACATCTGCTCGTCCTCCTGCGTTCTGGGCCCAGTGGGTGATCCCCAGTGAGAAACCTAGCCGCCATCCCTGCCTTCCTCCCCTGGTGCCTGCTGCCGTCTCTGACCACCAACTCCCAGGGTGCCCACCTCCTAAACAGTGCTCAGACTCATCTCTTCTCTCCATCCTCTTTCTACCTCTACAGTCCAGATCCCCTCCTGACCTCACACTTGCTCCTCACCGCTCTCTAGGTCTGCAGACTGGAGACTCCCCCACCGCTGCCGTGCATCCGCCATGAGGCAGCCAGGGTCACTCTGCTAAGGCCGTATCTCATCCTGAAACTGGCTTAAAAACTGCTCACCAGAGGCAGGACACAGTGGCTCATGCCTGTAATCCCAGCACTTTGGGAGATAGGTAGATCATAAGGTCAGGAGTTTGAGACCAGCCTGACCAACATGGTGAAACTCTGTCTCCATTAAAAATACAAAAATTAGCCTGGTGGCAGGCACCTGTAATCCCAGCTACTCAGGAGGCTGAGGCAGGAGAATCACTTGAACCTGGGAGGCAGAGGTTGCAGTGAGCCTAGATTGTGCCACTACAATCCAGCCTGGGCACCAGAGTGAGACTCTGTCTTTAAAAAAAAAAAAAAAAATTGTGACTGGATTCCTACTCACTAAGGTAAAGCCCAAAAGCCCAAAGCGCAGGTCATTGGTCTGCAAGATCCTGGTTGGCCTGGGTCTGCCCCCCACCAGCCTCATCACGGGTGTCTCCATCCCCTTCTCCACTCACTGAGCCACTGGGGTTTCCTCCACAGCCCTGCATGGAGCTAGCACCCAAGCCACCAGGCCACCTTTGTGAGAGCTGGAGAAAAATGTCCCTGGGGACAGAGGCAGCCTTGCCTGAGGGTCCTGGCCTGGTGAGTGCAGAGTGGGCTGGATTTCAGCCCACCCGCTCTTCACCTGTGTGCGTCTGTATCCAGCAGCCCTGGTGCCCTGCCCCTAACTCAGGACCTGGGTGTACCCTTCCCTCCACCGCAGCACGCTTGCCACGCTGCTCTATCCTGGTAGCGACTCCTCCTCTTTCTTCAGGCTTCAGGATAAATGTGCAGTGGGGAAGCCTTCTCTGGCCACCTCACCCAGGTCAGCCCTGCAGTGTCCTCTGCGCTCACCCTCAGCGGCAACTCTTGAACTCTGACAGGTCACTCCAGTCTGTGAGCCTGTGAGGGCAGGAGGCATGTCTGTCCCACAGCCCCCCTGCACAGCAGCTGACCCTGAAGAAGGAGGAACCGCCCCTTCCAGAGGTTCTCACAGTGCCCATCACAGGCTGGGCTGCTATCCTGGCTCTACAGAAACACCAAGACTCCAAGAAGAGAAGCCGTTTCCCCAAAGCTCACAGGGGGGGGGCGCCGGGGGGGGGGGGGGGGGGTGTCCACAGAGCCCAGGTCTGGAAGCCAGCAAGCTGAGGCTCTCATTCCAACCGTCACCAACCTACCCTGTGACCTTGAGCCTCAGTTTCCCTTCCACACGGGGGAGGATTGGACACAGGGTTTCTGAGGCCCTTTCTCACCACTACTAGAGCAAGCGAGGTGGTCCTGGGCCCACCCCGCCTGCTCAGGGACCCTCGGGCAGCACTCACGGCTCTTCCTGGCACCAGAAGTGGTTGATTGCAAAGGCAATTGCAACGAGGACCAGGAACACGGCCACTGCGATGAGGCCCTGCATCCAGGGCTGAAGCTTCCCCAGGCCTAAAACGGGAGGTGGGCTGTAGCAGATGGGGCCACAGTGGGGGCCACCTGTGCAGGAGAGCGAGGGGACTCACTTCCCAAGAGCCCCGCCTGTGCTGAAGGCCCTCAGCCAGCTGCCAGGACCAAGGAGACATTCTGGGGAGGCGGGGGTGGGATGCGGTCCCTCTGACCCACTTAAACATCTTGAGCTCCACTTAGGTTAGGAAAAGGAGGGAGTTGAAGGAATTGCAGAGGCTCGGAGAGGGGGGAGTTGGAAGGAGAGAGGAGCCCAGGAGGGAACAGGCCTCGTATCTGAGATCTAGGAGGCCCAGAATCTCTTCCCCTCCCCCAGGCAGGTCACATGCAGGGCCCCCCCCGAGAAACCAGCTCATAGAGAGACTCCCAGATAGCACAACAGAGTGGATCTATCTGCAGACCAACAGCCTGAGAGCCTGCGGGGCTGACAGCTCTCCAGAGTGAAGGCCCTGAGCAGATTTCCATCCACGTATTTATTTACTCTTTGACAGGTGATTCTCATTAATACGCAAGTATTCTACATATACATATAACTCAAGAATATACCAAGTAGGCAGCTGTTACCCGCCTACCGCTAATTATAAACTAAAAGTATCTTCCACAAGGGAGCCATGGGGGCAGGTAAACTTAATGTTCCTCAACACCCCAGGGAGTGCCTGGGCCCCAGGGACCAAAGGGCAGCCCCCTGGACAGCTGGCCTAGGCCTTGCAGCTGGGCGTGGCTCCCAGAGAGCTGAGGAGGACCCAGAACTGACATGACTGGTCTGACGTCCGGAAGATCCTGTTCTGTAGCAAGAGGTTTCTCTGATGGTAGGAAGGGTGTGTGAGTGGAGACAGCAGGCTACTCGGCTGGGGCATCTGGGGTGCCTGGGGTACCCAGAGAGAGGAGTGGACCAGGACATCTTTAGAGGGGTAGGACCGAGGGGTAAGCTCTTCTCTGGGTCTTGGGGGCCAGGGAAGAAGTCTCAAAACCTGAACCCCTTTTTGTTCCCCCAGCTGGGTGCCCAGGGACTAGGGCCAGAGATTAGGTCAAGGCCCAACCATGCACCCTTCTCTGCTTTTTTTTATTTTTTAATAGAGACAGGGTCTTACTATGTTGCCCAGGCTGGTCTCACACTTCTCGGCTCAGGCAGTCCTTCTGCCTCAGCCTCCCAAAGTGCTGGGATTACAGGCATGAGCTGCTGCACCCGGGCCCTTCTCTGCTTTTTGACCCTTGACACCAACACAGACCCCCAAGATTTCCCTGAAGTCCCTGCCCTCAGGCCACTGCTGCCCCAAAGGACATTCCTCTTCCCTGACATCACTGCACTCCGTGAGCCTGAGGGAGCTCAGCCCTGCAGAGAAAAGACCCTCGTTGGGGAGAGGTCCCAGCACAAAACACAGGTCAGCAGGAGCCTTCAGAGGGGCCCCACGTCCAGGCCAGAATACTTGCATCCCTATATTTTAAGGGACCCAGGCTGGGCATCAGAAACCTTACTCTGGCTCACTCCCACTCAAAAATCCTCCTTTGAGTCTACCAAAATCTCTCCTGCTGCAGTGGAGACCTGACCTTTTCTCTGAGCCTAGCAGATACTGGGAAGAAGGAAGGAGGCCCTGGAACTCTCTGGCCCATAGCAAGGTCAGACCTCACTTATCTCCAGGGGAAGCAGAAGACACACAGTGTGGTTACCCTCAGTTCCATGCCTGCCAAACAGCAGTGTTTGGGAGTCCCTGGTTCCCTGGGGATTCAGACTGCTTCCTCAGGTCGGTGGTTGCTCAAGCTTGGGGAGTTAGGGCTCAACCCTTAGAGGCCTCTCCCTGCTTCCTCCTAGACCCTGCAGCTAATTTCCTCCAGTCATCCCAGGGACCACAGTCCCTGCGCCTCCTCCATGTGGGGTTAGCACATACAGCAAGGGGCAGTGCCTGGGGCAGGAGAAAGGTGATCTGAGCCCTGTCCTTCCCTCCCCTGCTGTATAACTCATGTGAGGTACTCAACCTCTCTGGTCTGCAGTTCCCCAGAGGGCTTCCAAGACCTGGGAGACAGAGTTGAAGCAGACACACATGAGAGCTCAAGGTGGGGTGGGAGGGGAGCTCTGGAAGCATCTTTGCCAGTCCCCTCTGGACCAAGTCCCACCTGCAGAGTCCCCAGACTTTGGCTGCAGACGCAGAGCGTGTAGAGTGAAAGCCACAGCTTGCGTGTGCTGCTTCGCCAGGTGCAAAGCCCTCCCACAGCTCTGATCTGGCAGCAGCCCCAGGAGGTGGGCAGGTGGGGCCTATTGTTTTCATTTTATGGGTGAGAAAGCTGAGTCTCAGAAAGGGGCAGTGATTTGCTCAAGGTCACACATCAATTCAGGCAGAGCAGGATGAAGAGCTCAGATATTTGGGGCAGTCACACTGGGCACTGTTCCCTACCCAAGTCCAAAAAGCCAAGACAATTAGGACTTGGGTCAAAGCCATGGACAAAGCCCTGGCAGAGCTGCTCCTCCCCTGGAGCAACCTTGTCTTGAGGGGTGCTTGGGCCCCACTCTCCCCCTCCTTGTATCCCTGGCCACCCTGTACTCAGGGCCCAGCCATCCCCAGGGCAATGCCTACTCTTGGGGCTTGGGCCTCAACTCCTGCTCCTCCCCCAGATCCTAGAACCAACATTTCCTTGCCGCTCCCACTCGTTGAAAACAAGTGGCAGGCAGAGACTTGGTTCAGACGTCTCTGCCTTGGGACGATCTTTCAGCTAGCCCAGTCCCTGATTCCCCTCCAAACTGTAAGTATCAAGTCCTGGGGAGAGAGGCCGGAACACCGCCCCATCCACCCCTGGGTCTCCCATGCCCAGCCCTCTCCTCCTGCACTACCTTGCTGACAGCTGGCAGGTGGCACTGCTGTGAGCAGGCCCAGAATGAGCAGGCTGAGGGCCGACATGGCTGCGGCAGCTCCTAGCCTTGCTTCTGGCCTTCGGTGTCTGGGCTCCTGGAGCTGCTGTGGGGTCTGTTGGTGTCCGCCCGAAATCAACCTGGGCTCAGTCTTGTCCTGGAGGGGAGGAGCTAGGAAGGAGGAAGGCGAGGGCGGGAGGAGAAATGAAGACAGGTGGCAGAAAGAACCTGCCCTCCCTCCCATGGTAATGAGCTGCCAAGCCGGGCCTCCCCTGGCCGGTGCCCAGCCCACTTGCACTGGCATTCGAGGTCATCTTCCCAGGGCCAGCGAAGGAGGTGGGTATTAGGACCAAGCAGATATGGGAGAGTCCCAGCCTCATCTCCACGCCCTGAGCTCCCTTTTCCTGGCAGTGGAGCCAGGCTCTAGGGAAAGGGGTGCCACACAGCCGCTCCTGCCTTGACGGAGCCCAGTGGGCAGGGCTTCTTGGAAGGCTGACAGTGGGATTAAGAAATGTGCTGGCTGGCTCCGGAGCCCGGGGAAACCCACAGAAGCCCAGGGAAGGCTCAAAGCTGCCAGATTCCCTGCAGAGCCTGGCCTATTTCCTGTTCTCCCCCTCACCTGCCCCTGCCCCACCAAGCCAAACCCTGGGACTCTAATGCTGGGACACACCACAGCTTCAGTGCCTTCCACCCGCAACCCAGCTCAGTAGCTTCCTAAATTCACCCCCTCCTGCAGAGATCTCAATAGAGGGCCTGAAAGTCCCAGTTCCCAGCTTTCATATCCCATGCTCAAGCCCCGACCCAGCCCAGCTGACCTAGGCCCAGTTCAGCTCTTCCTCTTGGCCCCAGATGTGGTCCCTGGAAACTAGGCAGGGCTTTAAAACAAGATCCCAGCTTGGTCAAAGGCTTCAACACCCAACTTCAGATCCATCTCCACCTACGGTAGAGGAGAGAACAGGCAAACACAGCCTGCGGTGGGGGGAAAAGGACGGACACTACAGGTGGCGCCCCATCTGGGACCCGGAAGCCCTGGGCCCGCCACCTTCATAGCCAAAAGCAGCATTGAGGAAGGCACCCCCAGCCCCTGGACAGGGGGACTCTGGAGCCAGAGCCCTCCAAAGAGCCAAAGTCTCCCCAGGATCACATGGTGTCCACCTGGCCTCCAGCTCGGGAACTGAGAATGGCCAGAGTTCCTGTGCAGGCCCCCAACCAAGGGTCATGCTGGTCTCCTTGCCTCACCCCCAACCCAGCAGTATGGGAAGCTGAGACGCTGCCTCCCTAGAAAGGAGCAGGCCAACTAGAACAAAGTCTCATCAGAGATGGAAGGTCCCCAGGAGCCAGCGCCTGAGCAGAAGGCCCCTCCACAGCCTCTCTGCCCTGAAGCCAACCAACCCCTATTCATCAGGCCTCCTGGGCAGCCCTTCCTATGGCAGGCCGATTCTGCCAGCGGGAGCACTTGGACATCATGCCTCAGGCCTGCTTCCTGTGTGTGTGTGGGGGTGTGTATGTGTGTGCATGTGTGTATGTGTGTGCATGTGTGTGCATGTGTGAGTGTCTGTATGCGTATGTGTGTGTATGTGTATGGGTGCGTGTGTGTGTGTGGGTGTGGGTGTATGTGTATGGTTGTGTGTATGGGTATGTGTGTATATGTGTATGTGTATGTATGTGTGTATGTGTGTATGTGAATGTATGTGTGGGTGTGGGTATGTGGATGTGGATGTGTGTGTGTATGGGTGTGTGTGGGTGTGTGTATGTGTGTGTATGTGTATGGGGGTGTATGTGTGTATATGTGTATGTGTGTGTATGTGCATGTGTGTGTGGGTGTGTGTATGTGTGTGTATGTGTATGGGGGTGTGTATGTGTGTGTATGGGTGTGTGTGTATGGGTGTGTATGTGTGTATATGTGTATGTGTATGGGTGTGTATGTGTGCATGTGTGTGGGTGTGGGTGTGTTCACACGCATGTGCAGTCAAGCACATTGCCATTCAAAGATGGTGCCTCGAGGTGATCTAGGGGAACTCTGCTTGAGTGACACCTCCCATACCTGTATATCCTGTCCTCCCTCCCTGCCCCAACTTGGTGCCCTCAGAATCTTCTAGCACAGACTGGAGTAAGCACCGTGCATGTTAATGAACAGCCAGAGAATCACTGTTTGGAATGTAAGGAATGGGGCTGAATTTAACAAACATATACTAGTGCCTTCTCCAAGAATTTTAAGGAGAGGAGTCACATGATCAGTTTTGCATTTGAGAAAACATTTCTCCATGCAGTGTGGAGCTCCCCATCTCCAGGGAAGTGGAACTGGGAACAGGAAGGAGGGATTGAACATTGATGGCTCCCCAGCTCCCCAGCTGTATGGACACAGCCCTGATCCCCATGGTAACAAGGTGGGCTCCCCTGCTAGTCTGGCTTGGGCCCAGGGTCTGGACTGAGGTAACAGCAGCCCCAGAGGGCTGCACTATGTGTCCTGAGCAACTGTTCCATCAACGTTCAGTTCCTAGAGACGAGGAGGCGGGGGATCTGATACAGTGGCCACAACACCAGTGCCTGGGCCTGGGCAGGGAGTGGCCATGGGAACAGATCTGAGCCCCGTTGAGGTGGCAGAGAAACCAGGGTGTGGCTGCTGGAACACAGTGCCTAGCTGGGAGTGGGTGCAGGCAGGAGGCAGGGGTGCAGGTGGCTCCCAAGTTTCTGGTGTAGGCAGCTGGGTAGATGCTGGTACCTCAGAAGGGGCCAGAACAAGTTTTGGGGTGGGAGGATTAATGAGCTATAGGTTTCGAGGTATCATGCTTGCAATGCCTGTGGACTTTCCAGAGGGACACATCTGGAAGGCTGCAGAATCGGGGTGGAGAATCTGGGAGCCGTCTATGGCACAGGGGCTGGTAACTGAGGCCAGGGATCTCATGGTCTCCCCAGTGTGTGTGGCGGGGATAGGGGTTTCGAGAGGAGAGCAGAGAAAGGAGGGGACACAGCCCCAACACATATAGGTCTTTCAAAGAAGACGGGCAAGAGGAAGCAGGAGGAAGAAATCCCAGAAAAGTGGGGTGTCCCAGGAGCCAAATGAGGAGAGATTTAAGAAAAGGAGGGTGGGGGGTCACAGCTTTGCCACCCCCCCCCAGCCAGTGCCATCAGCCCTCAAGTCCCAGGTTCTGCCTTCCTCACCCCAGTACACCCCTTCCCTGAAAAGCCCGGGGAAAGAAAAGGATGCTCGGGCTGTGCTTTGGGAGTGGCGGGGGAGGGGGATGAGCAGGAAGGACATCAGGTGACCAACAGGAGGAAAACATACCTCCTGGGTCAAAGTCCCAAGCTTTAGAGCAAAACAAGTTGTTCCAGAAAAAGGGGACGTGGGTGGACACTTGGCTTTGAGGCTGCTCCCTCCTCCCTGGAGGTCTTCACACGGGTGGAGGGTCATCTCCCCATCTGTATGGACACAGCCCTGATCCCCATGGTAACAAGGTGGGCCCCTCCACTGGTCTGGCTTGAGCCCAGGGTCTGAACTGAGGTCTCAGCAATCCCACAGGGCTGCACCATGTGTCCTGAGCTGCTGTTCCATCAACGTTCAGTTCCTCTTTCCTGTTCCAGCCCAGCTGTCACTCAGAACCATCAGGCCCGTAAGACAAGCACTCCGTCCAGCTAGACCTTATGCCATTATGCCTTCAGAAAAGCCAAAGTGGACCTGGACTGTTTCCAGGAGTCTCCTTCCTCCCAACCCCATCTTGTCAGCCATTCCACTTGCTGCCAGCAGGTGGCAGTGTCTAGCTCCAATCCCAGACTGAGGAGGGCAGGGAGCCAGCTTGCCGCTGAAGATTCTGCAAACTTCCCTCCCTCCAGCCCCTACTTTTGCCCCACTCCAGGGTAGTCTGAAGAAAGGGACGGTGGACATTTACATGCAAATAGTCACGGGTGCTGGGAACAGCATACATGGCGTGCTCAGGGCTTTGATGTAGGGCAGCGTGGTGGACTGCATTATTAAGGAAGGCATCCTGGAGGAGGTGATGCTGGCAAAGAAGTTAGCCAGAGTGTTGTACTGGGCAGACAGCCTGGGGAGAGGAATCCAGGCCGAGCTCAGCCTAAGGAAAAGTACAAAGAACATTCTAGAAGGGCCTTTAGGACACACAGATAAAAGCTTTCTTTACTCATTATTTATTTATTTATTTAGAGATGGTGTTTCACTCTGTCACCCAGGCTGGAGTGCAGTGGCGCAGTGTTGGCTCACTGCAACCTCTGCCTCCCAGGTTCAAGTGATTCTCCTGCCCCAGCCTCCTGAATTAGCTGATCACAGGTGCGCGCCACCAAGCCCAGCTAACTTTTGTATTTTTAGTAGAGACGGGGTTTCGCTACGTGGGCCAAGGTGGTCTTGAACTCCTGACCTCGTGATCCTCCTGCCTTGGCCTCCCAAAGTGCTGGGATTACAGGCGTGAGCTACTGCATCCAGCTCTTTACTCATTCTTTTAATACTTCATTTCGTTAATATCATTGCTGTAAGCCAGAGAGCTCCTGGAGACCTGTTTTATTCTTTCAAACATACCTTGCTTAACCCCTTTTATGACATTCATTGGCCCTTACAATAATATGCAAACTTCTTTGCATGGGTTTGAGGGCTCAGACAATCTTCCTTTACCCACCTCTCCAGCCTGGTCTGGCCCCGGAGCCACCTGTCACTTCCTAACAAAAGCCAAGCTCTTTCCCGCATCAGCGCCTCTTCTCCACTTGCTCTTTTTTCTGCCTGGAACACTCTTCCACTCCAATTTGCCCAGCAAACTGATCTTCCTTTACATCCCTTTCTCCAAGAAGACTTCTTTACTTCCCTTCTCTCCCATCTGAAGTCACTCCCTTCTACGAGTCTCCTTGGCTCATCTCCTCACAGCCATGATCACAAGTTGCAATTACATACTGATTTGTATGTTTATTCATTTAATATCTGTCTCATTTAATATTAAATTAATCTTTGATATGGAGGGAAGGTATCATGTCTATCTCTGCCCCACCATCCAGTACTGAGCACGGTCCTTGAGTACACACTTGACACATTTTATGAAGTTAAATCTCGGTATATGCAGTGCATGCCACTGGCCTGACAAAGAGCAGAAGCTCAGAGAAGGATTGTTCAATGAATAAAACATTTTAGCTGTAGTTGAGTCCTCGTCTCTCTCCACTGTCTCTCTGAGTGCAAGGACTGTGTTTGATTCATCTCTGTATGTGAAGGAGAAGACATGGTCGCCATTCCTCTGACAGTTGGAGCTGTTCAGCCTGAAATGAGGGTGTCCCGGAGGGTGAGCTCTCCATCCCTAGAGGTGTCAGAGCAGAGGCCATGGACCGGGTCACCCAACAAGGGGTTTGTCTTAGTCTATGTGTACCACTGCAATAAAATACCTCGGACTGCGCAATTTACAAAGAACAGAAATTTACTTTCTGACAGTTCTGGAGGCAGGGAAGTCCCAGATCAAGGCACCAGCAGATTTGGCATCTGGTGAGAGCTTCCCTCTGCTTCCAAGATGACACATCTTGCTGTGCCTTCATGTGGTGAGAGGGATGGAAGGGTTAAGGGACAAGGATGCTCCCTTCAATGCCGTTTTTGAGAACACTAACCCATTCATAGGGGTGAAGCCCTCCTGACCTAACCCCTTTCCAAGAGGTCCCAGCTCTCAATAACATCACCTTGGGGTAAAAGTTTTAACAGACGAATTTTAGAGGGACATACACTGAAACTATAGCAGGGTTCTAGCCCTTCCATTTCTGGAGCCTGCGATCCTGTGATTCCGTTAACAGGCTATGACAAGTTTTCATATTTTAATAAGGTTCCAAGGAAGCAGGCTGGTTAGGACTGTGGTGAGCCCCTCCTCTCTCAGACTTAAGACTTCATTCCCCTAGCTCCCCTTTATGTAGCACTCCCTCCCCAAAGCACCATGGACAGAACTCTAACTCATGAACGTAGACAGGGAAAACATCACAT